ATGCGACCTACAAAGGTGCCGTGTTTTGACTCCTCGGGAACCGAGTAATGGATCTGGCCGCTCCCTGACTCCCAAGCCTCCAGGAGCAAAAGCCAGAGCAGCAGACGCTGAGTTCCAGGATCTTTTCGCCAGGAAAACACCATTGCCAGCTTTTCCTAAATATTTGGTTCCTCTTACATCAATCCAAAATTTTAAAACAATAATTTGATTTCTTTATTCTTCATTTCTTAAACTCCCACCGTCACCATACTTCAGAGATGATGAAGAAAGGCTTCAACGTGAATWCGTAATGCGGACTGCTTTTGTGGAGAAAGACCTTGTGGTAGACAGCGACATCATGTGGCTAAATATGTAAGTATTAAATATATTTATCTTCCTTTCCTTATATGACCATTGAACTTTCTCAAAATTTTAAATTTCTTTTCAATTATACTTTGAGTACTCACTCAATTATTTGTTTATCAAGCTATGTCCTTAGAAAGTTTATACTAATTGATCAATTTCAATTATTCCGATTCATAACATACAGTAAGATATCGATTATTTACTGTTAACAATGAACATCTATTGAAAATGTTTCCCATGACAGGCACTGTTATATTTGTCTTAATGGAATCAATCCATTAAATTCTCACAAATATCCTCTCAGAAAGGCATTTTTTACATGAGTAGGATTTTTTCCTTTTATTGGAGCTTTATAGTTACATAATAGTTAGGTTCAATTTGACATAATCATACATACATAAAACTTAATTTGATCCATTTCAGTCCCCAGTTCTCTCCCTTTCCCTCCTCTTTTCCCTTTCCCTATTCCCCTTTCTCTACTCTACTTGTCTACCTTTCTCATTTATTTATTTTTGATTGGTGTTTTATAGGTATACATAAAGGCGGAATTCACTGTGGTATATTTATACATGTACATACTATGATTTCGTTAAGTTTATTCCTCATTTCCTCCCCTTTCCCATCATTCTTCCCTCCCCTTTAGTCTCCTTCTTTTACTTCACTGACTTTCCTTCAATATTTATGATATTAAAAACACTCCTTCACTCTTTTTTCCCCTTACTTTGCTCTAGCTTCTGTATATAAGAAAGAACATTTGACCCTTGAATTTCTGAGTTTGGTTTATTTCACGTAACATGATGTTCTCAACTTCCAATTTATTGGCAAATGCCATAATTTCATTCTTCTTTGTGACTGAGTAAAACTCTACTATATATATATATATATATATATATATATATATATATATATATCACATTTTCTTAATCCATTCACTTATTGACAGGCACCTGGACTGGCTCATTATCTTGGCTATTGTTGAGTTGCACAACTATAAATATGGATTTGTCTATCATTATAGTATGCTGATTTTAGTTCTTCTGTATATAGATCAAGGAATGGGATAGTTGGGTAATATGATGGCTTCATTCCTAGTTTTTTGGGACATCTCCATATTGCTTTCCAGAGTGGTAGCACCATTTTTCAATCTCACCAAAAGGTATGAGTGTACCTTTTCCCCCACCTTCTTTCCAGAATTTATTATTATTTGTGTTCTTATCAGAAATATATGAATGTGCTTCACTTTTTACAAATACACAGAAGTTAAGCAACTTAAGAATGACTTTAGTAGTGTAAGGGTGGGATGTCAATCTGATTTACAATGCCATACCGTTAATCACTTAGCCTCTCAGACTACAGTTTATGGAAAAAGCAGAGTTTTTGAGATTTGTAACCATCACAACATAAAAAAGGAAACATTGGTAAAAATGTATGTATACATAAAGTGTGTGTGTGTACGTGTGTGTGTATATGTGTGTGTGTACGTGTGTGTATACACACACGTACACACACATCATTATGGCAATTATCAATATTCAAAATAGGTTCCCTTATATTTATTAATTCTAGGATATCTGTAAATTACTCCTATGTCCCTTATTCAAGAATTATATTCTTGTTAACTGTCTAACCTGTTATTTAAATAAATATGTAAGAAATCAGTCTTTTCCAGTGAAGTTGTTTTGTCAATTTATTTCCTGTTGCAGGACAACAATGTGTAATTGGATATTTGTTATACTTGTACCACAACAAGTAAGAACATACTAGTTTTTTTGTTTTCCAATTTACCCGTATATACTAAAGCATTTACAAAATGTGATCATTTTGTTTTTTAAATGCCTCCACTCTGTTTGGACACAGTGGCACACTCACATAATCCCAGCAACTTGGAAATCTGAGGCAGGAGGATTCAAATTTGAGGCCAGCCTCAGCAAGGTAGGAAAACTCTGTCTCAAAATAAAAATAAAAGGGGTAGGGGATATAGCTCAGTGGTAGAGCACATCTGGGTTCCATCATCAGTACCAGAAAAAAAATTCCACTCTGGATGAATTTTTAGATTTCCATTGCTTTAAAAGTTGTTATCTGAAAGAATTGGTGACTTAACCAATGACAAAAGAGAGAAAAGCAACCTTCAAACATGAGTCACCAGTCAATACAGGTAAGAGTAGATGATGAAATATTTCAAAGGTCTCTCTGAATTTGGTGAGAGTCATGAGTTCCCTGAGCATTTGTAAGTTAAATAATAAAATTCTTTGGTAAAGGTCTATTGTAGAGAATTAGGAACAATAAGAATATTACAACTCCTTGCATATAGCCTGACCATTATTAAATGCAATTCAATATTTAAGAATTTGGAGAACACTTTTCATTCAAGTTGTAGTTTCCTGTGTTTTACTAAAGGGAAGCCATGATACAATTTACTCATAGTTTATCATTTATATTTATAATAGAATATATTATCAATTAATTTTAGTGAATAAATTAACGTTTGAAATTAACTTTCTCAAGCAAGATAAGTAAAGCATTATATTTATATATTTATTAGCATAAAACTTTCATAATTTCTAACTGATTATATTGTGCTAGCTCATGAAGAAGAAAGTAAACTTTAAAGAATTGTTTGTGAATGTCATGGATGTAGAAAATAAGTATAGATATTACAATGCCAGCTATAACTTTGATGAATATTGAAAGGTGGTAGTTAGTTTGAAAATGAAAGACAAAATTAAAATTTTATATCATCACAGACTTCATATTAATGAGATACTTTTGACAATTTATTGTAATATTATGGGCCTTGCATTGCTTTTAAGAATTATACTAACTGAAAGATGGAATGCCTCACAGAAATTTATAGCAGAGTAGACTCCAGTACTGATTATTAGAAGATAAGATAATGTTAAAGGAACATGAGTTTAGAAGATTGGACCAATGTGTGCATAAAGTATCAGGGAATCGTTTCTATTAGTTATCTCCTTAAGCAAATTAACCAAGAAAAATGTAAATAAGAATAAGAATTTATTGAACCATAGATTGTAACTCTTGGAGATCTAGGTACATCTGAATATAATTTTTAAAGGTTACAATTTACCTACAGTAGAAACATAATGACCAGACTTCCAGTAGGACAGACTCCACCTGACCATTCATATATTCTGCATGCCATACTCTAGGTAGGATGAAAACTCCCAGGGAAGAGCTTCATCCTCATTTGTTCAAACCATTCATTTTTCTCTGTAAAACCTTAAATGAACTTTTCTGATTTTCAGGAAATATATACTTTGCATGATGAGACTTATCAACTCTAAGTAGGTAAGTTTCCTGTAGGCATAGACTGTGCTTGACTATAGGTCAAGATTTATCCACCAAACTTCCCAACTCCTTTAAAAGCATATTCCATATAAAACTTCTGGACTACCTATGAAGTGACTGAAGCCAAGATCACTTAGTGGAAGTTAATGATATGATTCATCAATATGTACATATTATCTGGGGAAAAGAGCAAATAACTGATAACCAAATAACAAAAGACAGTTTTATATTTAACCCCATTGGTTTGAAACAAAACAAAACAAAAAAGAGTCCTTCTCAGTTATCAATTTACTGGGGAAGGTCAGTGTTTCAATTACTCATTATAGTATATTCTAAAGAAAATGTAATCATCCAATGCCAGGCCTTACCTTCTGGGGAAACTTCAGTTTCATTAAGAATATGAATGTTACCTGATGAAACTGAGTGAACTCACAGTGATGTAATCCCTGGCACAGTGAGGTGCCAGCAGAAGCTTCCCAGTTTGTATTGTGAAAGACCTGCATGCACTAGACTAATGATGATACTGGAAGGATGATTTAATCAAACACTAACACAAAGATTGGGTTAGAGAAATCTCCAATTAAAAAAAGAAAAGGTCTCACCAGGCCAATCCTATATGATTTTAAAGTGTTAAGACTTGAAAGGACCCTTTCTTAGTGAATTCTTTATTTTGACTGAAAACTCAAGGATTTTGTAGTGTGAAATTCTTATCCCAAATAATAGGTTATTTTACTTATAAAAGACAAATCTAAGATTAACAAATATTTCTGAGTGCTGGCATATAAGTGCTGGAGTGTGATAAATACTTTTAGAGGTCCTAGCATTAAAGATTCAGGATACTTTCAAATACAAGGTAAGAAAAAGCAACTCACTTACTTTTGCATGAATGGATAAAAACAAATATATGACTGGTCCAAAGAACAATATAGGAAATGTCCAGAATAAATATAACCTTATTCCAATAGAATGAAAAGATCATATAAACTGGAAATATTATGTAATAATGTACTTAAAATTTCTCCAATTCTGATTTAAAAATTTTAAGAGATTCAAATAGTTATAGTTAATGTTAAATTGTGAATTTTTGCTCAAGTGTGTTTTCATCCTTCTTACTCATGGAGAGATTTAATTAGGAAAAAGCCAAAGTATAAAAATAAAAATAACATTTAAGAAAGTTGTTCTATTAATCTCTAATTTAATAAAAATTGTTCTTTATTGATATTTAATACATAATCAATGTTGGATGGTAGAATGGTGATTCAAAATAAAGGCAGAGCTATGAATCTAAATAATTAGTAGAATTCCTAAAGAATGAAACACGGAAAATTCTAGAATTGGAAAGAAATTTAAAAACCCACCTTTCCGAAGTATTTTGATTCTGAAGGTGCTTGCCCTTCTGCGGAGTCTGGACCTTGAGGTAGGCTAGGGCTGAAGGCCATTAGGTCTGTCTTAGGCGGGACTTCGCCAGAGCATACCCTCTGCCTCCTCTGCTGCGAGTAAGACCAGCTCCCCACCGCGCTGGAGCACACCAGCCTGGGTTTCCCAGGCTTGCAGACGCCCTCAGTTGGCACCACGGAACACCGAAATGCCATGTACAGTAGCAGTGTGAGGACCAACAGGCTAGATACAGCGCAGATGGCTATGATCAGGTACACGTTGACGTTCACCAGCGCCATCTCCGGGTCAGCAGCGCCTGCCAATGCCCTTGAAGAGGCCTTTGGCGTTTGGCCTCTCTCCACCAGAGACAACAGCACTGTGGCTGTGGCGGTCAGTGACGGCTCGCCATGGTCCTTCACCAGCACCACCAGTCGCTGGCGTGGCGCATCCGACTCGTCCAGAGCGCGCGCGGTGCTGACCWCACCGGTATACAGCCCCACTCGGAACGGGCTGCGGGAACCGTCCGCCGCCACTTGCAGCTCATAGGTCAACCATGCATTGTAGCCAGAGTCTGCATCCACCGCTCGTACCTTAGCCACAACGTGGCCTGCACCCACAGACCATGGCACCAGCTCACTCGCCACTCCCCCTGTCCCACCCACCCCAGGTGTCAGCAGTTTGGGAGCATTGTCATTCTCATCCAGCACGAACACCTGCAGTGTCACGTTGCTGCCCAGGGGTGGCACACCAGCGTCGCGCGCGCTCACCTGAAACTGCAGCAGCTCAAGCTCCTCATGGTCCAGAGGTTGCAGCGCATATACCTTGCCGCTCTCCGCGTGCACTGACACATAGCTCGACAGCGCACGCTCGCCCACCCGACGCTCCACCAGAGAGTAGGACACCAATGCGTTCTCCTGTGCATCTGCATCCTGTGCGGACACCGTGAAGATGTGGCAGCCTGGCGGGTTGTTCTCCTTCACAAACACCGTGTACTCGGGCTGCGCGAACAATGGCGCATTGTCGTTCACGTCAGCCACCTCCACGGACACGCTGGCTGTGGCCCACAGTGAAGGGGAGCCCCCGTCCCTGGCAATCACCACCAGCTTATAATCAGCTATGGTCTCTCGGTCCAGGGCGCTGTCCAGCACCAAGGAATAGTAATTCTTGAAAGTAGACAGCAGTTTAAAGGGACCATGGGCCATTAGCGTGCAGGTCACCTGCCCATTGGTACCAGAGTCCCGATCTGACACTGTGATGAAGGCGATGACGGTGCCCAGTGGAGCATTTTCTTGGATAGGAAGCGAGAGTGATGTTATTGAGACTTCTGGCGTGTTATCATTGATATCCACAAGTTTTACTGAAATTTTACAGTGTCCTGACATTGATGGGGTTCCTTTGTCAGATGCAATGACATGAATATCATAGAATTTTGTTTCTTCATAATCTAATTTCCCCTTAGTTCTGACTTCCCCTGAGCTGTTATCTATTTTGAACTTTGTCTGTACACTGGAAGACATATCACTACTGAGTGAATACACAATCTCACCATTTGATCCTTCATCTGCATCAGAAGCATTTAATTTAACCACCAAAGTTCCATTTGTAGTGTTCTCTAACAATTGCACTTTGTAAACTGATTGAGCAAAAGTTGGTTCATTGTCATTCACATCTAATACCTTAATAAGTATTTGAACAGTGCCGGTGAGTTCAGGTTTCCCCCCATCCGTAGCTTCCAGTAACAAATTAATCTCAGCAGTTTCCTCTCTGTCCAGAGATGTTCTCAACACAAGAAACAAGGATTGGCTTAATTCATCATTCGTCTGGATGTCTAGAAAGAAAAACTCACTAGAGCTGAGTTTGTAGGAGATAAGAGCGTTTACTCCAATGTCTGCATCAGATGCTCCCTCTAAAGGAAACCTTGAGTCAAGCAGCCTAGATTCAGGAAACCGGATAGTCTTAACTGTCATTGGAAATACGGGCGGGTTGTCATTAATGTCCTTCACCTCCACTTCCACATGAAAAACCTGCAGCGGTCTGTCCACGATCACCTCCAGGTGGATGCTACACTCCGCGCTCCGCCCGCACAGCTCCTCCCGGTCGATCCGAGAATTCACAAACAAGACGCCATTCTGCAGATTTACCTCCAGAAGGTCCCCGCGGTCCTTGGACGCCACCCGAAACAGACGAGGCACCAGTTCTGCCAGCTCCAGTCCCAGATCCTGGGCGATGCGGCCCACGAAAGTGCCGTGCTTTGCCTCCTCCGAGACCGAGTAGTGGAGCTGGCCGCTCCCCACCTCCCAGGCTGCCAAGAGCAGAAGGGAGAGCAGAGGACACTGCCAGACCTCTGGACCCCTTCGCAGAGAGGACACCATTACTAATCCTCAGTGAGTTGGTCAAATTAAAGGACCATGTTCTGCAAATTTTTAAATATTCGAATCTCTGATCAAGTCCTGCTGCTTCTGTTAATGTTCCGTTTATCTGGAGTAACAAAGGGGCTCTAGGTATTTTTCTTCCTAGAGAATACTCTGTGGTAGACAGCGACATCATGTGGCTAAAACACAGTTTCTACTTTTACCATGCTAACCACGTTTAAGTGTGTAGTTCAGTAATTAAATATATTCACATTGTTGTGAATTTTTCATTTTGTAAAACTGAAACTCTGTATCCAATTAGAAAACTCCTATTTTCCACTACCCCACCATGGTAACCACCATACTACTCAGTTTCTATAAGTTTGTCTACATTAGATATTTCCTATAAGTGAAATCACACAGTATTTGCTTTGGGGGACTGGCTTATTTGACTTACATAATGTCTTGAAAGTTCATCCATGTGTAGCCTTTTAAAGCTAAATGATATTCCATTGTGTGTATGTACTACATTTTGTATATTCACTCAACCATTCTTGGGCATTTAGATTACTTACACCTCTTGACTATTGTACATTGTGGTGCTGCAAACACAGGTGTGCAAAACTCTCTTGAATATCCTGCTTTCAATTCTTTTAGGCATACTACCATTTTAAACCGTTTCTTCAAAGGAAGCACATATGTATCAAAGGGTATTTTACTCAATTGTATACTGCTATTTTGTGGTTTAATTTTTATTTTTGAATTGTTTACAGATGTTTGAACATTAATAATTTATTTGTTTCTCATTTGAATTATTAATTTAGGGATAGTTCTTTTTCTGTTACATTTGAATTTTATGCAAGAACAATACAATTAATCTTTTTAATGTTAATTATTTGAAGCTATCTTTTAGTAATTCTTAGCTGGTCCCTTTGCATGGAAAAATGTGAAAACAATAAAATAACATGGAGATGAAAACAAAATGAATCAAGAGTTGTGACAATGTTCAAAATCCATAATAAAGGGTGATTTTCCTAGAGGAAAGCAAACAAAATTTTAAGAAAAACTAGCTTTTCCTGGTGCTGGAACCCTATTTTAACTTTTTCCTAGAATCCAGTATCTTAAAGTACTTAACTCTGTCTATCTAAGTGAATATTTATATTAATCATACTCTCACAAAGAATCCTACATAAACTGACTTAAGGAAAAAAGTAAAGCATAATTTAATGGCTTATATATAAAACAGATCATTTTTTACTGGTTTTAAGTCACTAGTTTCAAGTCACCAATATGTGGTAATTTGTTACAGCAACCCAAGGAAACTAATACAATACACACTAGTGAAACTGTACTCTTTGCACCTACCAAAACAAACCAAGTTCCATAATATTTATGAGCCTGAGCATTCACTCTTGAAAAACCTTCAAACCGACCTTTCACAAAAGTACTACAAAGACCCAGAAGAAAAAAGGGGGAATGGATAATGAGCAAGAAAAAAGAAGGTATACCTATGCCATTTTAAATTTCACTTTGCTATTTTTCTTCTACATTTTATACATAAGAAAAAGAAATCATAAAAAAGAAATCATAACGAAAACTTTTTCCATAAAAGCCATTACATAATCTGCCTAATGGTCAGCTGCATTGATTAAAATGTCAATAATAATGTTCTATCACTTGTATTACTTGTTGTTAATTATTAAATGTATTAAAATGTATCCTTTTCACAGTAATTTAATGGCAGAAACACAAATTAATATATTGTTGTGCATTCACTGTTTCATTTTTTAGTCTCAAATAAACTCTTAAATTTTATTTCATGCTCCTGCAAAGTTATCTGTAGTTATAGAAGACTCCTATGACAGCTTTTCTCCCTATGTTAGCTTAGCATCCCAGGTTTCTTATGGCATCTCAATATCAATGTCAACCTGTGCTTCTGTAATTGCTGCAACAGGAAAAAAATAGGAGAAGAGAGTCTTGCACTGGCCATTACATAACTGTTTGAAAGAGACATGTACTTGCATTTCATTGGCCAAAGAAAATCACACAACCATACTACATTAAGGCAATAGAGAAGTGAAATCTTCCAGTGTTCTCAGTAGTAGGAGAACAGGAACCACAAGAAAGGGATCAAAATTGTAATGGTTTGCATCCCATGTATGTATGACAAGTCAATATACACCCTACTGTCATGTATACCTAAAAACAACAAATTAAAAAAAGAAGGACGAGAACAGAAATATTGATAGTGACTACTAAAGTAAACAACTATTTCTCATTCTTGCCTATTTGTATATTTTACTGAATAGCAGTCTCAGAAATGCCTCGGCTAAAACTTCACTTTTCTAATTATTTATTATTATATTAGAATATAGAACTGCAGTTCTATTGTTCAGAATGATAATTTTTTAAGAGAAGGAGCATACAAAAATAAAATCTTCTCAAGTTTTCTACCTTTTATTTCAGGAAGTGTAAAAAATATTTTTCTAAAAATTAAGTTGCATTGGGGGGATGAGGCTATGGCTCAGCAGTAGAGCACTTGCCTAGCAAATAAAAATAAATAAAATAAAGGTATAAAAAAATCACATCAATCTTTAAAAAAAATAAGTTGCATTGGTATCAGCATACCAAGGTGGCTTGCAAATAAATTACCATTCTTAAAATCATAATCATGAAACCAAAACTAATTTTTGAGGTCAAATAATCTCAAATTAAAAGTTCATATTTTATTAAGATTTTACTGAAATCAATGATATTTTGTTCCCATTAGCTCATTTGAAAGTTGTAGACTCTACAGAAAGATGATAATAATACAGTGTTTCCCAATATGCACAGCACAATCACCCTTGCCTAGTTCTTTTCAGATAGACAATAAGCAGTGCCCTTGATACTAAAGATTAACCAAAATTAATCATATTATATAACAATGGTTATAATCTGCTAATAAGCTCTCAGTCTTCATAATATCAACTTTTAAGAATATGACCACTTTTAAATCAGTACATTTCCTAAATGATTGTCTAATTTAAATTGTAAATATATTGTGAAATAAGCACTAAAGAACAAATTTCCATAAATCTGTATTATTCTATGTTCTTCTTAATACTAAAATAGTAAATTGTAACAAATGAATCATAGGAAAGACCAGATGGAAAAGTAGGAAAATAAAGCAACTGATTCATCTTATGAAGAATAGGAGATGAAGTAATATAATATATTTTGTTTAGGAGTGACCCATGTCTTTTGGTTTAATAGTGATTAATATTTGAGATTCACCTCCAAGTTAATGTCTTCAACCAACCCAGAAAACATTTAATTTTTACAACAATCATTATAATACAGAAGGAATTATCTGTTCTTAGATCTATAATGTACTAATCTCAAACTTTGTTTTTGACAGTGATTCCAATGCATTTGTGTGAAGGTATATATGAATGCCATTAGGCCATTAAAAGGCTACTGGTATTATCAAAAGATGCTCAGTTCCACTAATAATCTTATGGTTAATCTCTCATTAAAGTGCTGTGAGATAATTGCTTTTTCAAACTACATAAATTCTTTAATGAGTTGTGCAACTGTAGTTTTAAATGTCAACAACTAGCCCCAGTTTTTCTGGTGTAATGAAAAAATTATATCTTTATTCTTTACATACCACGTATGATTTTCAGTTTGGCCTCAAACCATAGTTCACTCTATCCCTCTTAATCATTCAATCAATTTAATTGCCCTTTTCATGGCATTTTCCAACTAGTTGGGTTTTTTTTTCTGCTGTATTTTAGCAAGGATAATTACACACCACTTTCTCTTTCTAGTGCTGGTGACTGAACCCATGGTTTCCTGAATGCTAAGCAAGCTCTACCACTGAGCTACACCCCTAGCCCTACACACAGTTTTCTGAGCAATATTTTATTAAAAGAAAATGTCTTAGCCTGCCTTTTTTCCTCAAGAAGCTTACTTAAAATGTTCTGACTTATTGCTTATTTTTTAAAGTCACAAATAGAATGAGATTTTTCTATGGACACCCTGGTTTGACAAAGAAAACTGCAAAGCAATATTACATCAAATCCAAGACGTTTTATAACCCAATTGTTATTTTAAATAGGTTGGAATATTGTCCCCTTGAATACAGGGACCTTGCTACCTTGTTTCACCATTGCTGCATCTCTAGGATTCTATAATGGGGCTTAGTTTGTGTTAGCTTTCAATATGTGGTTGTTGAATCAATAATAATTAAATATTGAATGTCCATAGAATTAATCCAAAGCCTGGTCATTAATACTGTTAACAAATGAAGTTAGGGGAACATAGCATGAGTTGGGAAGAAAATTTATTTTGTGATTTCCAACTCTATCTTTTCCAATTTGATAATCCTGAAAAATTTATCTCATATATAGAATAAATGGGATGTTTTCTTGGCATCAGGACCCTAAATTATTATTATTTTTTGCTGATGATTAATAAAAGACTAGATATGATAGTTAGTATTTGGAAAGATAAAGAAACATGCTTTCAGTTTAATTCTTACAATTCTCTAAGCAATGGGTCTGTACCAGCTCAAATTTGTGAAAGTTTAACTAGCAAATTATATTAATTTCTCTTAGAATATTTTCATAAAGGAACTTATATGGGACATTTTTGTATGTTTCTTTGAACATTTGGTAAACAAATATATTTTTATTTGGTACTCATGTAACCATAATTAAACATAGGAAACAAAACATAACATTATGCTTGGGGCTCAAAGACTAGTAAATTCTATATCCAATATATATCAACTCATTTTGCAAAACTGCTATAAAATATACTGTCCATTATAGTGCACGAATATATTGATCAACATAATGATCAATAATCAAATCTTCCTTGATTGTATAGCAGGAAGAAAATATTTTTCCCTTCTGAAAAATGGGTATAGAGTACTTTTTATTATTATTATTATTTATATTTCTGTATTCACTTCCAGGAAGATGGTGTAAAAGTTTGCACTCGGTCTCTGCTTGATTTTTGAAAAATCACTCACT